TTCTTAATACCCTGCCGCATAGTTGAAATCGAGTGATCTGCGATCGACCGCTGCCACAATGCGGCCACTCGGTGGACGACGTCGTGCAGCCATCGCTATTCGGTCTACGTGGGGAATGTTTGTCGGATCCACTGGAAGACACTCTTCAATACCGTGGGACTTGAGTTCTTTGAGGAAATCCTGAAAAAGAGCAAAACCGGTACATTTCACTTCATAATGGTTTCGACTCCTCTGTAGACGACTCCCCCTGTCATACAGCGTTGATGACTACATGTCCGCCTATTCCGTTGAGGCAGAAAGTCTGCCTACCTGGCAGGTCCGAACCTTGCCAGCTTTGAAGAAGGTGGAGATATATCTCCAAAGCCGGATAGATGTACCGCCAGGGAGTGGACAGTGGGTACAGCCTTTGGTCACACACTGCTTCCAACTAGGAATGTGCCCCAGTTCGATTATGCCTCGCGGTGCAACTCGTCAAATTGTGGGCGTCCTTAGTACCAGAGTCGCATGATCAAAAGGTTAAGACCAGATGGCAGTCAACAAGAATTACCTTATCCTGGTTCTCGCAATAGAATTTGTTCTGTTCAAAATCATAGAAGGACGCATTGGCATTGATGGCAGCTCCCGGTCGTTCATCAAATAGCAACATTCGAAGCACCACTGACGCTACAGCTTCTACTGTACGAATTGAACCGGACGCGGAAGCAACGATATGTAACTGGAAATATACTATGATAAGTCGGACTTCAAAATGACTTTCTATGGATAAACTGTCGCATTCGGCCTTCAGTCCTCGGTACTAACCGTGAGTCATACTGGGCACTAATGCGAGGGATGGGTTCTGATAGTCCTACTCAGACGAAAACACGAAAAGAAATATCTGTGTCGCCTGCTGCTCAGGTAGTAATTAGGGGTGGGGTTGAGTTTTGTCGAAGGGTTGGGGCTATGTGGGGCAGGCCGTAATGAAACCACAATGAGTGGTATACTTCCAATAACGAATAACAGTTGTTTTAGTTTGAAATCAATGGGCAATCTGAGTTCTCTGTGACTAGGAGGAATTGTCCGGGGATTGGGTTCGTGGGTGAAACGCTAAATAAGGTAGCAAGGTAGCAGTTGTGCTTCTCTTTCCTTTTTGCAGAGACGCTCGATACCGTAAGCTACCGTGTGCTCCTACAGACTGATTCACCTGCTACACTGCCTTGGGTCATCTATCTCTGGAGGAAGTAGTCTCTACTTGGATGATATTTTACAAAGTCGTCGTTATACAGGGTGGGCCAAAATTATGATTACACAGAAATCGCATCGCAGAAAACGAATAGAAAGCCAAAAGAGCAAACCTATTTCATTAAAGGGTTTAGCACAAATTTCTTATCAAAACTGTATA